CCTGAAACACATTTTTTTCCTGTTATTCCTCTCTTCACTGACTGCTATGCAGAAATCTTACTTTTCTGAGGAAGGCCTTTCCTGACTCACTAGACTCTGTAAGATCTCCCTATAATCTGCTCCCCATGTTGTAACTTCCATCAAGGTAAAATGTGTCTTCTTTCCCCCTGTATCCTTAGTGACTAGCCAGCCCTTGGGATATATACAATAAATATCTATTGAATGAATTAATGTATGTTCATTCCTGCTGGTGAAAACTAATGTGCTTTGCACAGTTTTCTTTTAGAGTTGTTTACAAATTTAAATGTTAAAAATCAAAAACTGTTTTTCTTTAGCACCGTTTAAAAATGTTTAAAATGTTAGTATTAATCTAGTTATTAACAGTATGCTTTTTACACTGAGGTACAAATTCAGAGAGTTGCCTTTCACATTGATATACCCATCCAAAGAGAGAGTTTGGTGTGAAATTTACCTAAACATGATTTCAGCTGCTTCTGCCATCTCCAATTCTCAACCAGAGGTGAGGATTCCAACAAGATTTTAAAAATATATCTATATTTAAATCATGTCATAATCGATGAACAGGTTTTTGTTTTTTTACTCTATTAAAAAAAATATCATGGCCATTACTCTGTGACACACAAATTGTTATGGTGATAAGTCATAATTGGTGGGAACTATTTTTCCCCCCCACAATCACTGTATGCTTTTGGCTTTAAGATACCTATACTTTGGAAGTGTGATTAGTCCTCCAAACAGCAGGTCTAGATATGCCCAGTCAATCATCCGCACTGGCTGGTTGACTAAGAAGTAGTTCAATGCCAGCTCCAGGACTGCACTAGACCCATCCAGTTCTGGCTGGAGCCCTTTGTAGGGTGGGAAGACAGCAGAAGCAATTTCATGTATCAGGGCATTAGGAATGGCAGATTCTTTCCTGAATTAATAATTGAGGTACTCAGAATCCATCTGCTATCTAACTACCTTTCCTCTATCGTGAGAAAGAATTCAATCTGTTATTTACATGTGCCCAGAAAGGCCTAAGAGTAGTCAATGCTAGGGAGCTCCTAGCATTGAGGGGGCAGTCTCAATCCATAAATAGGGTCAACAGAGGAACAAAAAATCAAACCAAAAAGCAGGATACTCAATTAAATGGAAATTTCAAATACACAACAAATAATTTTTAGCTTAAGTCTGGCCCAAATATTGCATGGAACATGTACTAAAGTGTCCTATATTACCTGGCAATTCTAATAGTCAATTCAACTAAATTTCACAAATATTTGGAGGGCTTACTTATCTGAAAGAAGAGAGGATGGAAACTTGGTCCAAAGTCAGCAACGTTTGTCTACTAAAATAGCTTTGCCTGGGAAAATCTTGATAATAGGCCGCTTAGTACCAACAATGTTTTTCTTTATTTATGAATATTATTTCATATGATCAATTTGGTAAAAAAAAAAAAAGTCTCTTCCTGGAGGAGTTTTAACTGTAGGAAAAAAACCTACTTTAGAAAATGTCCTAAGATGCTTAATATGTTAATTCAAAAATATCTAAATAGAACACACATTGTTCAATGTGTCCCACTAGGGAGGATTATATGGTTCCCAGTTTGACTCTGTTGGTTTGTATGACTGTGGTTCTCCCAGTCAGTGGAAAAGGAAGACAGCAGATCCTTATGAGTGATAATAGAGCAAATATACTCAGGAGGCACTGACACACAGCTTCAAACAATGAGGAAGAAGTGAGGCCTGCTTGAGAAATAACTGCAGGAGCAACTGATAAGTGCAGCCCTTTATCCCCTTTCTTACAGAAAAGGCAGAGAAAAAAATTAATCCGGGCTTCCCTGGTGGCGCAGTGGTTGGGAGTCCGCCTGCGGATGCAGGGGACACGGGTTCGTGCCCCGGTCCGGGAAGATCCCACATGCCGCGGAGCGGCTGGGCCCGTGAGCCATGGCCGCTGAGCCTGCGCGTCCGGAGCCTCTGCTCCGCAACGGGAGAGGCCACAACGGTGAGAGGCCCGCGTATCGCAAAAATAAATAAATAAAATAAAAAATTAATCCATAGTCACAAGTAGAACTAGTGACAAGCTAAGACAAAACGGCTTCAAATCATAGTTCTCGTTGATAGTGCAAAATATACAGCTTATCACGTTGGTCTTCTAAGACACCCACAGCTAATACTATTGTCAACAACTTGTAAGTCAATTACCAAAATACTTGTCTACAATGTGTTTCAAAGAGTTGAAACAACGGTATAAAACATGACCAAAATGCAAGCCAGAATATAATGGTGGTAAGAGTGTTATGTGTTTTCAAAGATGAATTGATCGTATTTGGTTCAGACTTCACAAAGGAGATGGTGTTTGAAAATAATTTAAATATGTTCATCAATGGATAATTACAAATTATGACATAATAAACATGAAACAGAGTTCCATATCTTTAACAGAAGAAGAGCTGAACTAATGCAAAGATTTCACACTAATTATTCTGTTACTAGTAATAAGGTGACGCATTGGATAGAAGAATGTTTTTGAAACAGACTTCGCCTGTACTTTTCTGGTTTCAAGTAGGTAAGTCTTCAGGGGCTTTTGTTTTATATTTGTCTCATATCCTGGTAACAAACTACTTGGCACACAGAAGGCACATATTTAATTTTAAGATAGAAACCTCAGGAATCATTTCAACTCATCATTTATCACATCCAATTTGTCACTAGGCCCTGTAAATTTACCTCCAGCATTCTTTTGAATCCCTTCTCTTTGAACATTTTTATTTCCATTGCCTTATTTCAAGACTTTACTTTTTTAACCCAGTTTACTACAATAGCTTCCCAATCTACATTTTCTTAAAAGACTTTTACAACAAAGCATTTCACATCAATCCCTAAAAATATCTACTGCATACTAAAGGGGTCCTCAAACTTCTAGAGAGGAGGCCAAAAATCATATTGTTCTTTGAGAGTGGACTGTAAATAAAAGACCATTTGAGAAAATTTGAGGTGTTTAGGATTGGTCAAGATGAGGCAAAGGATAATGAAATGACCCTTCAAATTCTGGATGGGAAACTAGCAGCCCATGGTTTGCAGTCGTAAAATGGTCAATCAAATTCGAATCGGAAGTTATCTTAGGACCATGTGCCCACTAGCTATGTGCATTATTATCTCGAAGCAGCTGGTCTTATCGACTTATGGAATGACTTACTGAACGCTCAGCTATACGGCCAGCTGCAAGGCAACATCTTGAGCAGTTAGGGGTACATCTTTTTGGATGAGTTGATATTTTGAACAAAAAATGTCTTATTTTTCTCATAGCAAAATTACACTGGTTCAGGGATAAAATGACCCATTCTCATTATTCTTATGTGGAAGTTTAGGCTTCAAGGGAAGAATGTTTCTACTAGGGAACACAATCACGATTCCACTGATTAGTATCTAAAGACTGAATATTTATCTCTCTTCTTTCATGTTTCCATTTGATTTTGAGAAGCTATTTTTTTCTCTGTCTCCACTACTGTATAGAGCATACAGTATAATTTAAATTATACTTAAATTTACAATTAAGTCCTTGAGGTGATCATGAAGGAACTATGGGAGGAATGGTCATCACCTCAAGACCCTAGACTTGGAAAACAGTGGCCCTCAGTGGCCACTGTATTGTTCTCACATGAGGTGGAGCTCTGCCTATCATCTGATAAGCTGGACGCTGAAATCTGCTGCTGTGTACGTGGGCTCTTGTGGTTTTCAAAGACCAACAGTTTTGTTCTCTCTGCTTTGACCCAGGCCTTTTCTGGGCAACTGGTATCTTCCATCCATGTTTCTAACTCCTGGTCCAGTGCTGTTTGACAGGCAAGACATATTTACGTGCAACCAAAGGCATAAAAAGCGTTCCTGGAACTGTTTTTGCACAGCACTGAAAACTGATAGCTTCTCCCCAAATATCCTAACTTGATAAAGGAAGGAGACTCTTGCTGCCTGCTAAGAACGTCTTTTTCCTCTCGTTCTATAATGGGCATTTTGTCAGTTCCTAAATTACTTCTTAGTACTGTTGAGGGAGATAGATCCTGGTATATTTGGAGAATGCCAGATATAATAAAAGTGAAGACAAACAGTATAACAAGTTAAAACTATGTTCCATTGTGGAATATCTAAACGCACCTCTCCCCCGCACTGACCATAAGTATTACTGTTTTCAAAATAATATCATGCAAATACATTTGTTTAACCAGTTTGGGTGGTTAAAAACACTAAGTTCCAAGTACAAGCCTCTTTCCTGTAGATGTCTAGCGGCTTACTAAACCAACGCGTCAACCCAGAGGGTTTTGCCTCGCTCTGAAAGCACCAGGAGGACGCAGGAGCCCTGGGTTCCAGTTCTGACTTCGACTAGCTTTGTGACTTACACTCGCTGCACCTCAGTTTCCTCTCTGCAAAATGGGGCGGGTACGCGGGCTGGATCTGGATATTCTCTGACTACCTGAGTCCACCCACAAAAGCCCCAGAAAGCCCGCTCGGGCGCCCACCTTTACTGTGAGGACGGGCGAGGAAAGGGGAGGCAGCTGGACGCCCGCACTCGCCTCCCGTGGGGGGCGGAGGAGCCGGGGAAGCGGTACCGGAGCACCAGCAGTGGGCGGTGCCACTTCGCGTAGAGCCGCCTTCCGGCCCGCGCAGGACCAGGCGCGCCCGCCAAACGCTCCGGCCGCCCTCCGCTCCCGGCATTCTGGTTCCAGGGCCGCCCGGGGGGACGCGGTTGGCCGCGACACCGGAGGGGGGCGGGTCAGGAAGTGGGGGCGCGGCGGCCGGGAGCGGGCCTGGGGAGGCCGAGGGGTTCCGCAACACGGAGGGGGGGAGACTCTGAGCCGCGCGGGAGCCGGAGGGGCGCCCCGGCCTCCGCGGGGACGATGGCGGAGAAGGAAGGTGACCTCCCTGGGGTCCAGCGCGCCTACTGTCGCCCGAGGTCTCGGGAAAGGGGGCGGGGGCTCGAGGGCCCCGGGGGCCGGGGCTGCGGGCGGTCGCGGCGGTCCGGCGGGAAAGAACGGGACGGCGGGGGGAGGTGTGTGGAGAAATTCAGAAGGAGCGGAGTAAATAGCCCGAAGTTGTGTCGGCTCTAGTGGGAAGCGAAAGTGAAGCTTGAAGTTGGGAATCGTGCAGGAAGAGAGAAACCCGTGTGGGGAGTGATGGAGAGGGAGGTCTGTGAGCACATGACTGATGGGGGTGGGGGACATACTTTGGTTTAGAAGATGTAGGTTTAGGTACTGAGTGCATTTTCGAGAGGGATAGTTGTTTAACCAAATGCCCCTCAGTCTGAGTGCGCTCTTTAGAGGTCTGTGGATTCTGACAAATACAAAGTCATCACCGGTGAGAGGAGCCGCAGGCCAAGGGGACAAACAGGCAAGGGTTTGGGGTAGACGTGGTAAGGTGGATTGGGAGGGGATGAGCAAGCAGAAACTGAAGAAGGTCAAGTTCAGTTACAGGTTAGGGCGAGATGGCATAGGGAGAAGGGATGTAAGTGGTTTTGGGGGGATCTGGAAGCCAGGAGTGCTTTCTGGGTGAAAGTGGGTGGGCTGGAGAAAGCTTTTCATGCCCCTTCAGGGCCAATGCCAAGAAAATTAATTCATAGAAATCGATAGGTATGAGATAAAAATGCCCAGTTGGGAGGAACTTAGCTAGTGAGAGATGTTATAGGAAACATTCGTGTCATGATATCTTCATGATAGGCATGCTACTTTCAGGCATAGGTATAATGGTGTCTCTTGACTGAGCAGTTAGATTTTTCATCCTTTTGGAAAACATGACTTTTTACCTTATTGAGGGGAGTTGTGAATGTGATCTATTTAGATTGAAGCCTTACTGAACCAAGAGTGCAAGAAGGGAGTTTCAAGAATTCAGTGGAAAGCAATTTAAAAAAATTAATTGTAAGAATTGTTTGCTGCTCTGTGTCTTGCTGCTCTGTCCCTGTGCTCCCTCTTGCTTCATATTTGCCTCGTCTTCCTTAAGTTTTCTGTGTTAAAACTGATCTAAATTTAAGACACTCTACCTAAAAACAGCTTGAAAACCAAAACTCTTTGTAGTTGGTAAGGAAGAATGTAATTCTGTTTGTTGCCTTGGTTTTATCTTTGGTTGCAGTATATGTAATACATTTTTTGATACTTTTTCCTTTTCTGATGAACTGCAAATCTCTAGGGGTAGGTTGATGAGCTAGCTCATATGTTTCCATGAGCACTTAAGTTAAAGCATAAAAAAATTAATACTGCAGTACTAAAAGTCTTTAATATTATATATCATGCAAATGAGAAATTGTTTTAAGAGGTTATAGTTACACCTAACCAAATAGGTATGATGTAGAACCAGTTATGGTTTCATAAACCATACAAGTTTGTGAAATTTAATTCTGTGATATAAAATGAAAAATGATTTTTGTTTGTAGAATTACAGATAATCCAAAGCAATGAAATACATCTTGGAACAATTAATGGATTGCAGTTTTGTTAAAGTTTATTCAACAGAGTTTTTAATTCCATAAATATTTGATTGTCTAATGTGTTAGGTACTGGGATATAATAGTCAACAATGAGTAATTCTCATTTATTGTAATCTAGTAATGATATTTATAGTAAACATGTCTATGTCCTACGCATTTTTCTGAGTACTTTCCATTTATTAGGCATTCTATACTGTTTTTCAAAATGCATGTTATTGGGCTTCCCTGGTGGCGCAGTGGTTGAGAGTCCGCCTCCCGATGCAGGGGACACGGGTTCATGCCTCGGTCCGGGAAGATCCCACATGCCGCCGCGGAGCGGCTGGGCCCGTGAACCATGGCGGCTGAGCCTGCGCGTCCGGAGCCTGTGCTCCACAACAGGAGAGGCCACAACAGTGAGAGGCCTGTGTACCGCAATAAATAAATAAATTAATTAAATGCATGTTATTTGTATTCACTGTGTTAAAATTAGACTAAATAGTCTATTTTACTTGTATCCAGATGTTCTCTATATCGCTTTTTGCTTATCTTTCACATTCACTTGGATCCTCTTCATTGTCCCACTTTTCTCTAAGTAAATACTCTTTGGGAAATCTCATCTTCTCTTGATGCTGTAGAGGGTCATGGTATTTATATTTATGTTTCCTGGAAGATATGTTAGAGCAAAGAAAGAAGTGATAGCCTTGAGCAGAGTAATGTTCATAATTCACTTGGAAGTTGCTATGTATAGTCTAGATGGACATTTGCAAGCCTATTTGTAGCCCTGTTAACTATCGTATGTGAAGATCACTGAGCCAGAGACTGAAATGGCAGGTTATTTTTGTGGCTATGTTATCATTTTTATTTATTTGACTTTTTCTTTTATTCTTTATTTTTGATATGGATAGATTCTTTTTTTTTTTCTCCCTTTATTTTGGCTGTTGGGTCTTAAATTGCAGCACGTGGGGTCTTCGTTGAGGCATGTGGGATCTTTCTTTGTAGTGTGCGGGCTTCTATCTAGTTGTGACGTGTGGGTTTTCTCTCTAGTTGTCGCACAGGCTCCAGGGTGTGTGGGCTCCGTAGTTGTGGCGCGCAGGCTTAGTTGCCCGTGGCATGTGGGATCCTAGTTTCCCGATCAGGGATGGAACCCGCTTCACCTGCCTTGGAAGGCAGATTCTTTACCACTGTACCACCAGGGAAGTCACTCTTTTTTTTTTTTTTTAATTGAAATATAGTTGATTTACTACTTTGACTTTTTCTTTACAATGCTAAAAGTATAAGATAGTGAAAAGGAAACCTGAATTCTATCCCAGAGCTTTCCTATCAGGGTTAATAATCTAGTTTGTCCACAGCTTTGGCCTTTGTTACTTATCCACCTAAAGATTCTGGGCTTTGTTTATCAATTATGAAGTTAAAAGATCAATATAAAGGAAATGAGGTAAAGTTTGCATCCAGTCAGTTTTGATTTATGGTCACAGTCAAAAAATTTAGGGACAAGATTGTAGAGATTGGTTAAAAAGTTTACTGTATTTCCCAAGTAGTACTTTTTGCTCCCACAATTTAATGCCACTGAAATTGCCATGTCTTAAAACCAATGCACATATTTAACATGGTAGTGCCAATTTTCCCCTTGAAAAACATCAAATAGTATCTTAAAATATATGGCTTCTTAGAATCAAGAAAATATAGTATTGGAATTCCCTGGTAGTCCAGTGGTTAGGACTCTGCGCTTTCACTCTGCGGGTTCAGTCCCTGGTCAGGGAACTAAGATCCCACAAGCCGTGCAGCACGGCCAAAAAGATAATAATAAAGAAAATACAGTATTATAGATCCTTTACAGATTATTTATTTGTATTATAAACATTGCTAATATAGATTCCTGAGAGATGACTGATTAAGATTTATATACTTCATAAATAACGGGGTTCTGTGCAAAATTTTTGTTAAATTCCCTGGTGGTCCAATGGTTAAGACTCTGTGCTTCCACTGCAGGGGGCACAGGTTCCATGCCTGGTCAGGGGACTAAGATCCTGCATGCTGTGCAGTGCGGCCAAAAACAAAAACCAAACCAAACAAAAAAACCATTTATGTGCACAGAGAACACTTTATTAAAATCCTTGTAAAGTGATTGATTTTATAGAGAATTTTTTTAAAAAGAAAAATAATAGCTTTTTGTAAAGAACACTTTATGTGAATATCCCCTTCCTTCCCAAATTATCTTTATCTTAAATGTGTGCTTTTAGACTGTCTAATAAAAAAAGCCCTATCTAACCATTGGTCACATAATTTGTTAACTTCCTCAGTAGATTTGTTAACTTGATTTCTGAAATTACCCAATTAAAATTTTTTAATCCAGTACTGTTAATGTGTTTAATCATGCACGTGTATCTACTAAGTATATGTCTTGTGGTTATATTTTTTCCATGTATTCTTTTTTAATAAAATTTAAAATAATAACTTGCATTTGAAGACTTCATTTGGCTTTACATAAATTTTCATTCTTGTTGAATGCTTCTAACTTTTGCTTTAACCCATAGCGGGGGAAGTCATGAAGAAGGAATATAATAATATTTATTAGTTGTCCCAGATTTGTATGCAAAAATATTCAATATCCATGGTATGGCTTTTCTAATAATGTCATTTTCTAATGTCTTCACTGACTTTACTACTTAACATGATTATAAAATAAATGATAAATAGTATAGAAATGGTTAAAAATTAACTAGTCAGACAGAATCCACTAAATATACAGTATTTTTTCCCTCAGTGTGTCAGTGTTTAAAGATATTTTAGCAAACGTGAATTTGCTTTGAAGCTACTTTAAAATCCATTTTACTCATTTTCCACAGTAAAGTTAGAGAATCGGCCATCTGATCATCAGCAACAGTAGCTGATTCATTTCTCCTTTTTTAACTCCTCTTTTTAGGCTCATTTTTCCTAGCCTTAAGCCATTACTAAGAGAAAAGAAAAAACTCTTCTCTGCTTCTATTAGAAGGAGATAAGTTCTTGTACCACCTGAAACCTTGACAGCCCATCATAGTATCCTATATCTACATGACATAGTCTACCTCATAATTAACTCTAGGGAGGAAAAGTAGTTAAGTTGAATATCGTAAATTCCTGTTTAATTTGGAATTTAGTTTACTGATTTGGAGGTACTTTCCGCATTACATTTTTTAAAGCTGGTATAGAAAGAGTAGATACTCTAATTTTGGGAAAATTTCTGAGAGTTTCCCAAATATAGGGATTTTTAATAGGTTCAGCCTATTTTCCAATACCTAAATCTCTAAGACTGTTGAATGATAATGATACCACAGCACTGTGAAATTCTCCAGAACCTTCAGGATTATTTAAAAAAATGAAGTATAGGACTTCCCTGGTGGCGCAGTTGTTAAGAATCCACCTGCCAATGCAGGGGACACGGGTTCGAGCCCTGGTCCGGGAAGATTCCACATGCTGCGGAGTAACTAAGCCTGTGAGCCACAACTGCTGAGGCTGCGCTCTAGAACCCACAAGCCACCACTACTGAGCCCATGTGCTACAACTGCTGAAGCCCTCGTGCCTAGAGCCTGTGCTCTGCAACAAAAGAAGCCATTGCAATGAGAGTAGCCCCCGCTCACCACAACTAGAGAAAATCCACGTGCAGCAATGAAGACCCAATGCAGACAAAAATAAATAAAAAAATGAAGTATAGTTTTATGATCAATGTATTTTATTTAAAAAAATTGTTAACTCATGAATGATGCATGTTATACTCTCAGGTAACTAGAATAATAAGCTGATTTATTAAATAACACTTTGTTCTCCAGTCATTCTGGAAAAGAGTTTACTTATTGGGATATTTTGAAAATAGCATCATCTCAGGAGAAGAGCTCAGTTTATCAGTAGGACTCTGAAAGCATGAGTTGGAGGCAGAACTTATACTGTCTTTTTGTTTGTAGGAAAGGAAAGTTTTGCGGGGAGTGCTAAAATAATTATGAAGAAAGTTATCTTTGGTACGAATAGTTCTTCATGGGACTTTTACCTAAGTATAATAAAAGTAAATCAGTTTGAGATATAGACAGAATAATTTGATACATACATTGCAATAACTTTTCAAATATTTTAAGGACTAACTATAGAACTGCGCCAAAGAAAAAAGCCAGAGTCTTCAGAAAATAAAGAATCTGCCAAAGAAGAGAAAATCAACAATACTGCAATTCCTGAAAGAGTTCCAAAACGTAAGTTAGAGAGATTTGGAGTTTTTATGCTATTACAAAAATAGTTATGTTAGGTAATATATTTTACATTAATATTTCAAATGTATAAACATATTTTATCTTAAGTATGTGGTGATATTGGTCAACTTGCATTAGGTTTTGCTGTAGAACAATTCCTAAGTCTCACTGGCTTACAAAAAACATTTATTTCTGATCAACATTACATGTTGTGGCTGTAGATGTAGCTTCACGTCATGAAGGCATAATCCCTATTTGGGATGTGTTTTTCTTGTGGCAGAGAAAAAGAGCAGGAGAACAGGCAGAGTCATGCAGTACCTCTTAAAGTTTCTGCTGAACTGGCACACTGTCACTTGTACTCACATTCTGTTGGCCCAACCAAGTCATATAATCAATCTAGACAGTGGGATGGAGAAATTTAGTCTGACTACAGGGAAGCATGGCAAGTCACATGGTAATAGGCAGGGATGAAAAATCTTTTTATAGGAAAGGACAAAATAGTTGGGAATAAGGATAAGTCTACCACATTCTGGCCTTTTGGTCATAAATATTTACTTGTCTCCCTCAGACAAAATATACTTGGTACCTCCCCGACCCCAAGGAAGACACCCAGTGTTATCCAGTCAGGGCATCAGTCTTGAAGCCCAAGGTCTTGTTATCTTCATCAGGGTCAGCTATGACTCATTCAATCCAGAGACCTATGAATTAAAAAGACAAGTTATCTGCTCTGTGTTAGGGGTCCCCAAGAACACCCCCATGTTCAGAGATTAGGAGGAGTCACAGGTCTCAGAATTTAGTCATATTCACAGCTGTAATTTATTACAGTGAACATACAAAAGAAAATCAGCAAAGAGAAAGGACCTATGGGCTAAAGACTGCAAGAAACTAGGCAGAAGCTTCCAAGTCACATAGGACATACATAATTCCTTCAGCATCAAATTGTGACATTTGTAGGTTTGTCTACCTGGGAAGCTTATTAGCAACTCTGCTCAGGGTTTTTACTGGTGGCTGGTCGTGTAGCCTCTGCTTAATGCATAGGAAAATTCTAGATTCCCAGAAGGAAAGCAGTAGGTATGAACCACACTGTTTGCACAAATAAGTTAGGCACAGTAAACCACTCATTAGAAAATGGTGGGAACCCTTTTGAAATCCAGGTTCCCAGATGCCTGCCAAGAGCCTGCCTTGTAAGCAGGCTTTTCTTAGCAAAGCACATGCCCCCTTTTCCATTATACACTTTTGGATGAGGATAGGATATCAAAATAAATGCTTCCACTCAGAAAGAGGAAGAGTGAGAGACACATTAACCACTGGTCCATAGCAATTTTGAAATCCTACTAGGTAAATATGAGGTCTTCCTCCTCTGGGGAATGTTTCTTGATTAGGCCCTAGTTGTTTTCCTTGGAAGTAGTTTCCCAGTTCATTGTTCTTTGTCGTCCTTGGCTTCATCCTCTGGAGGTCCTTCCGTTTCTGTTATCCTTCTGAACCATATCTGAAAGTGGCTTTGGAGAATATGCCATCCTTAGGAGCTGAACAGCTTTCGTAAATAGATTTTTTCCCATAGGGAGTTCAGGGGCCATTTATATAAATTTGCTCACATAAGATAAAGGCAGTGAGTCACCTACAGATCTAGTTCAAAGGTTAGCAGCAAGAAAACTTTTTGGGAGCTGGAAGATAATAATCCATCTGCATGACAAAACATTTTATAAAACTGTTTCCTGTGAATAGTTGCAATTTTAATACTAATTTTTAAATTATTTTAGGTAACAAGATCACAAACAGAATATTATTAGAGTACCTTGATTATCAGCAGCTTCTTTTTTTTTGACATTTTTATTTTAGACTGCAAAAAACAAAAATGAGCAAACAAACAGACAACAAAAAACTTGAAATAGGCTTGTCAAATGATGTAAATTCATCCTTCCCAGGGAAGCAGAAGATAGACCAGTGCAGGTTATCCTCAAGGCCACATATATCCTGCTTCACTGCTGCTTGCACTCTGCTGGGTTTTGATCCTTCTTTGGGTCATAGTCTGGATTATTTTCCTCATCTCCTTCTTCTTCCCCTTCCTCATCTGCTTCTTCACCTTCTTCATTCTAACCATCATCACCTTCAATAGCTTCTCCAGTAAAGTATAACACTGATCTTGGGATTATACGCTCACATAAAAAGTGACCAATTTCAAAGTCCACAGCAAGGATAGCTTCAGCCATCATCCAGATCTCCACTCTCAGGAACTTCAGGAGGGGCAAAAACATTAAAGAAAGAGTCATTAGAAACTTTTTTGGTCACACTATGAATTGTCCCACATCCCTTGTGTTTCTGTTTCTTCTTAATGGTTTTCAAAGTGACATTCTTCCGTTTTTTCCAATCTATCTGGCACACTGTACAACCCATAATTTCTGGTCCATCAAAAGAAAAAGGATCAGAATCATCTGGTTCTGACCTCATCCTATATGTCTTGGTCAACCCTTCATTTGTCAAATATTCATTGGGTTCAAAGTGAAATTCTAAGACAAAACTCATAGGCTGACCAGCATCTGAGAACTTCACTTCAGTATCTTTCAAGTGCTTCAGAATAGGTTCATCCCGTTCCTGAACCATATCACTGACCAAGTCAACATTCTTAAACATGGTCAGCCAAAATTCAGGAATTCCCTTGGGGTCTTCTTTTTCTTCATCCTTTTTCTCATCTACAATCTTGGCCTTTTATTTTAGCTCCTCCGAAATTTTATCTTCCTCATCTGGTTTCCATTCACATTCTTCTTCTATAGGTTCATAAATGGCATTAATGATCTCAAATCGCTTATCAAATAGAAGCTGATAGGGAACAGCATACTTTCTTTCAAGATCATGAACTTCCTCATAGAACTGGGCTTCTATCTGTGCACATTTAACTTGAAGGTTTTTGAGAGCATTCACACATCTTTTAACTACCCTAGACAAGTTGTCGATGTCTGCCATGGTGTATGAATGCCAAATATCAGTGGCTAGCAGGGGGAGCCAGGCGGCCAGAGGTGTGCAGGCAGTGACTCAGGGCGGCGGTGGGAGGAGCAGAAGCTATCAGCTACTTTTGATTACAGGAAAGAGACACATGAGAACAGAATTGGCCCATTTGCAGTCAGGAAAGAAGAGGAAAATAGGAATCCAAAATTTCTGGGGCTTGTAGTGTTGAAATTAGTATTGTTTGTCTTTTCAACTAGGAAAAAATACTCAATAAAATTGAGAAATACTTTAACAAAGGCTGATTAAGATGAATCCTTAGGGCAACACCCAAATCAAGGGCATGACTGTCACATAGTTTGTTAAAATGTATAAATGGATTAAAGTAGCTCCTACTAACTCCTTTCAGTTGAATAAAGCACTCAGGGAAAAAGAACAAAGGGTGTGGCTTTATGTGACAAATAAACAAAGCTTCATAAGCTCAAAATACTTGTAGTTAAATCTTTGAGAGAGGCTTATCTAGAAGAATTGTGGGTATAGTTATTGGAGTATGGAGTTGACTGGAATCAAGTAGGTAAAAAGCCAACAAAATTGTTCTTTTCTTTGCAAAAATGAATGATTTAATTTTTAAAAATTAAGGTATAACTAACATATCATAAAATGCACAGAATCAGGGCTTCCCTGGTGGCGCAGTGGTTAAGAATCAGCCTGCCAATTCAGGGGACATGTGTTCAAGCCCTGGTCCGGGAGTATACCACATGCCGCGGAGCAGCCAAGCCTGTGTGCCACAACTACTGAGCCTGTGCTCTAGAGCCCATGAGTCACAACTACTGAGCCCGTGTGCCACAACTACTGAACCCTGCATGCCTAGAGCCTGTGCTTCACAACAAGAGAAGCCACCGCAATGAGAAGCCCATGCACCACAACAAAGAGTAGCCCCTGCTTGCCACCACTAGAGAAAGCTTGTGTGCAGCAACGAAGACCCAACGCAGCCATAAATAAATAAATAAATAAATAAAAATAAATAGAAAAGAAAGCCCTGCTTAAAAAAAAATGCACAGAATCATAGGTATTTAATTAAATGAGTTTGGGTACTTGACTACAACTAAGATACATAACATTCCCTTATCCCAGAAAGTTCTTTTGTGTCCCTTTCCAGGAGATTTTCCCTGTACTCCCCAAAACAACCACTCTTCTGATATTTTTCGATATTGATTAACTTTGCATGTTCCAGAATTTCATATAAATGGAGTCATACAACATATATGTCCTTGTGCCTGGATTCTTTCACGTAGCTCAATATGTTATCCTTTAAAAATATAATCATTTTGAGATTCATTCTTCTTGCTGTAAGTGTTCTTGCTTTTCCTGTTGGACATTTGAGTAATTTCCAGTATTCTGCTATTATGAATAAGGCTGCTGTGAATACTTGGATGAATCTTTTTGTGGACATCTATTTTTATTTCTCTTAGGTAAAAACCTAGGAGAATTGCTGGCTAAGCTTTGAGAGAGACATACTGTCAAAAGAACTGCCAGCCTAGATTAAGGACACAACTCTTCATGTCTTAAAATGATGTATGAGTCCCTAACTTTCTACATGCAGAAAGCAGGCTGAGTAAGCTGCTCTAAGGGTATCTTTCTTGAGAAGGAGTGAGTGTGTTTTGCCTTTGGGAGGGAAGTAGACATTTGTGACTAATGGGGCAAATCCTGGTGGATCCTTCTATTGTTCCCAAATGTTTTCTCCCTGCCCTGAAAGTGGATTATACATTCCTTCCCGTTACCATGTGATTTGGATTGCCTCTCTGAAGTGGAGTATACTTCCCTACCCCGTTGTCAGGTTTATCCATGTGACTTTCCTGGGCCAATGGAATGTGAGTGGAAGTAGCGGTGTACTAGTTCTGACCAGAAGTTATAAGAGGCATTGCATGTTTTTGTCTGTTCTGCTGCTCTTTTCCTTTGTAATGAGAACAGCATGTCCCAAATAGGGACTGATCCCATTCTGGAATTCTGAAGGTACAGGAAGAGCCACAGCTAATCTGAAGTCTGGAATTGAGTGGAGAGTG